TAAAAAACCCGACTAGGTTTGGTTTGATTTGATTTGGTATTGAATAAAAAATCTCGAACCAAACCGACATATAAATATATAATTTTTATACTGTTAAGATTTTATATAGAATTTTCTTTAAAAAATGTCTAGAAATATTTGGAATTCTCTTACGAGCTATAATATTTAATAAAATATGAAGTGCCCCATATTTATTAACCTTAAATAATGGGTTGTATGATCACTTTCTTATCAAGTGTTACTGAAATGCGTCAATATCTTTGTTCTTCCATATTCATATGTCATGATCTATTAAATTCTTATATCTTTTTTCGAATTTGAAGTGGTTATTATTATTTAGGTATCATATTGATTTTTATGTTTAATTACTAAATTCTGTTAATCTTGAAAGTGTACATCAATAAAAAATTATTGTCAGACAACTAAAAAAATAACTATCATGTATTATTACTAAGTAAATTCTCCCATAAGAATATTTAATAAATAATATGTTTGTCAATTCTTTTAAATTTTTACGAAACATATATTTACTTATAAAAACATTAACAAAGTAAGATTGAAATAATTTTTAAGTAACAAAAAATTCAAAAAACCCGTTAAAACCGAACCAATCCAAACTGATATAGTTGGTTTGGTTTGATTTTGATAAAAACAGAATCAACCCGGTTCATATACATCCCAGTACGTAAGATGGTGTCACTTATAGTGGGAAGGTGCGTATTCATTTTTAATCAGGGCAATAGTGGACTGCTACACACAAGGGGATAAATGCATTGAAATGTTTGACATTGATTGAGTTTAATGCTAGAACTGAGAACTCATACATGACAATATATTATGGGAGCTATTTTTTGATATTGTATTTCAGAAATGAGAAAGAGCAACCAACATATATTGCGTATGTGCGAATGAAGAGGTATAATTATATAGCATTAATGGAAGTGGTTTTGAGCATTGGCGTAACTGTTAAAGGTATTGTCATGTGACAAGAAGGTCACGGGTTCGAGCCGTGGAAAATAGCCTTTGTCAAAAATGTCGGATAAGACTGTGTACAATAGACTCTTGTCGTCCGAACCTTCTCTGGACCCCGCGCATAGCGAGAGCTTTGTGCACCAAACTGCCTGTTTTTTTAAAAAGAAAAAATGGAAGTGATATTATAGTATAAATAACATGGAGTCCAAGCTCCAAACTTTTATTAGAAACAGTAAGAAAAGAAAGAGCAAGTAGTCGAAATAAATAGACAAACACTTCATACACTTCCAATAAAGATAGTTTCAGTTCAGATTATTATAGCATATAATAGTACATTATTCAGCAAAATGATACGAGTAATGCATACAGTGTATGTAATAAAAGTGTCATATTTATTGTAGCAGAATGTGGTACTTGTACTTACCCTTCCTACTGGCATCTATCACTTCCTAAAAAGCTATGTTATTATCAACACATAATCAAATTTTATTATATTTGCTTTCTCAATAAGAAGTATGTTCCTGTGATCCTCAACCACTAAAATTTACGTTGCTCCTTAATTATGATTCTCTCTTGTAGTATTGTTGACGGTGCCTCTCAATATTATATCTGATAAAGATATACTACATATTAGTGAAAATGTTCACTAATTCTCATTTATTAAATTATTTTTAAAGTAGCAGCACTTTGAAAATTCTGAATTGATTTCATATTTACTTGAAGCTAAGCAAAAACAATATCAATTCTCTTTAGTATTAGTCAGTGTCCCAATTCAAAAGATGAAGTTCGAGTTTTTCCTTTTTCAGTTATCATGCTACAACCTCGTATATTCTTATTAGTTTTATCTATTTCTCACCATCTTTTTGGTTTCAAAATGTATTTATACCAAAGCTGTCAGCTTGCTTATTCCATGAGAACTCGCTTATTCCATGTTCTCAGAGAAATAACATGAACCATTAATTGTTTACTAAGGAAGATGTGGTTAAACACCCCTCTCTTTTACCTAGTATTTCTTGCCTGGTCTTATACATACTAATTGCCACGAATAATTCACTGTTTACACTTCAGCTGTAGTTCAGTGGAGCGGTTCCTAGCTAGATTGATAATTGATACTCAGAACTAATTTAATTCAAAATTGGATGATTAGAGCTTTTTGCCGTTGCAATATCATAAATGGCTGGGCTGATCTTTAGAGTCGTGAGTTGGGCTTAAGAGCAATGGAATATTCATATCCGATGGGATTAGTTATCCCATAGAGAATTTTGGGGTGGGATATTTCAGTTGTTTATAATTTAAAAGAATTACAAGAAAATACACGTGACTTCACACTATAACAAAAAATGGCCCATAATTTTTAGTTTTACCTGACCTAACCCGTATTGTACATATTTTGAAAGCACTAGCAAATTCAAAATTTGTGTTCTTGCAACCATTATTTCTAAAAGCTATGGAGTTAAATATGTATTCTCACAACCATTGCTTTCACTCTCTCTTCTTCTCACATCTTCTACATATGCTTCAAGGGGCCATGTATTTTGTGCTTCCCCCTGTATCACCTGGTTGCAATGTAAGAAAATTGAAGAGTAGGAGTCCACAATTGAAGGCCATTCAAAGCTTTGCTTTCAAAAATATAATTTTTTGACTTTGTTAGTTTTTGGATTAGGTATTGTTCCAATTGATTGAAAATATCAAAAGGAGTTCAAAATTTAAATTTGAAGTGATTTGGAGTAGATTTGAGTTAAATTTCAGAAAAGACGCAAGGAAGAAGACGAAGTTAGTTTTTTTATATAATTATGTATAATCTTGTATAATAGTGTATATGAGTGTATAAACACATCTTATACACTATTATACACCTTTATACAATCTGTAGACGGACTTCTTTCACGATTTTCAGTTGAAATTCTTGTTCAAAACCAGTCCAAATCTCCATTAAATGACTTCAAATTTTATATACAACCTCCTTATACTATTTCTAACAAGTCTAAATAACACACATTTCAAATTTCTCACAAAATCAAATTCGAAATTTAAACCCACATATTTAAGCTTGTTAAAAATCTAATTTTTACCATCCAAATGGATTTGGTTTGTTGAACTAATATTTGAGTCGCAGTTACTGATTCAAAAATTAACTTAAAAGCTTGAGCAATCTTTTTTAAAAATTAAATAGTAATTTCGAGAACCTATTGGAATTGGATATTGAATCTTAGTCTATTATTTTTGGACTAGTTGATTGTAAATTAAAATGTGAGCTATAAAATTGAAAAGTAGGGAGCCCAGTTGTTGTTATGTGAAATTTTCCCTTATAATTTTGGTGTTTTTTACCAAGTGATTTCAGCAGATTTGCTGATCTTAGGGTCTGGCTGTGACACTCATAAAAGTTGTGTCCATAAATAGCAAACTTTGTTCTGTTGTTAGCTTATGTAGTATTCTGGCCTGGCTGTGACACTGATAATTGTCAGGTCAAATGATTTTTTTCCTCGGGCTAAATTTATAATAAGATTATATCATAATTTAATTGTTTCCTGTCATTACGGCACGAAGTTAATTATAAAAGAAAACCTAAATTTCGCAAATACAAGTAGCTTAATTCTACAAAACCACAATAATATTAGCCTCTTTAGAACATAAAACAAAAGAGAACCAAAAAAATGAATCATTTAAAGTGACCAAATTAATTAGAGATTTTTACATGATTGCTCTCTTTTTAAACATTATTCTCATAAATGATAGCAATCTTTTTTTATTCCAAAAATGGCACATTTTTTTACTTTTTTAGTACCTTCACTTTGGTAAGTACATTAACTAAGGGATTCTCTCCTACATCAATATATTTCTACTACATTTTCTTTTTCCTCTCTCTTCCATAATTTTTTTTTTTTCCATAAATAATACTTACCCAAATATATCAAAGATTCCGAAAGAAGAATATCTCAAAAATAGGTCCCTCTTTAATGAGGTTGCACAATGGGAATTTTAGTATTTTATTTTCTTTAAGTTTTAAACTTTTTTGTTGTATAATTTTATTTTTACTCAAAATATACCTATAATATATTTCAAGTATGCTATATGTGTGATAACTTATAATGTAAATATTCCATCAATATGCCATATATATTTTTTTTGTTCCATAAATAATACTTACCCAAATATATATCAAAGATTCTGAAAGAAGAATATCTCAAAAATAAGCCCCTCTTTAATGAGGTTGCACAATGGGAATTTTAGTATTTATTTTCTTTAAGTTTTAAACTTTTTTGTTGTATAATTTTATTTTTACTCAAAATATATCTTTAATATATTTTAATAAATTTCAAGTATACTATATGTGTGATAATTTATAATGTAAATAGTCCATCAATATGCCATATATATATTTTTTATGTGTATTTTATTCCACATATAAATTATATATATACATTATAATACATGTAAACAAACAAAATATACCATACATAATCTTTAAAGTTGTGTATTTTATACTTTATATATGCCACTATTATATAATTTATCACATATATCATTGTAATAGAAAATATATAAGAACCACCGGTCGAAATTATAACATGTTAAAATAATAGGTTATTATCCAAATTTAAACTCCAAAGAAGGAAACGAAAAGAAGAATTTTGCATATACAAAAAGAAAATATGAAGAAAGGCATTAGAAAAGGGAAGACAAAAAAGAATGGAAGGATTGCATCAGTTATAGAAGATAAAAAATCTGAGGGAAAAAATATGAACAATTGCTATAGTTTTGCAATGGGGTTGATTCTTGTCCGGCTGAATTTTAGGAACATTTATTTGAAAGGTATTATGATATATTAACATTTAGGTGCCGTAAATGTAATTAACTAATGTTGCTATTGTTTTACAAATTTTCTTTAAATATTTGCCTAGTTATATGTTTTTCCCCAACATATATAGGAGTAATAGTTACAACTATAGCTTTTAATATAAGATCGTTCAAGACTATTCGGCAACGACTAATTATTATCAGATACTTGTATTAACAAAAATGTCAGATCACTCCTCAAAGTAGGGGGCTTATAAATACAGATTAAGATGTTCTCCAAAAACTAAATTTAGAAAACTATAGATAATATATCAAATATTTCAATTAACAAAGAGGTCAGACTTAGAATACAGATGATAAAATCTCAACCAAGACCAAACTTACATAACTTCAATTATATATTGATGAAATCCCAAACAATCCAAATTTAAATTGCTATAGTTCAAGTGCCTTTTCCTTTCCTCCCTGACACGCCTCTCCGCGCAGCTTGCCAAAACAAACATCGGCAGTATGGCGCCAAACCATCAGTTGCCTGTAAATTTGTTCGAAGAAACAAACCAAAGTAAAGCTAGTTATCAAGTACAACTGCATTGTCCACAGAATGCAAATGCCAATGATTACCATTTTCCAGACACTTCTATATTCCATAACTTATCACAAAATCCTAATCCAAACCACAACTTTGTATTTTATGCAAGCATTAACGACATTGGGATTTCCACTTAAGTTAGTCCATGCCGCCAAGACCATAAGGGGAAAAATGAAAATGATGCATGAATTATGCCTCTACAGTTTATAATTTAAAACTTTTACAACTTGAACTTCACCTTAGTTGCACTTTCAATTTTCTTGTGGGAATATTCAGGGCAGGATAGCGAGAGTTAAAAGTTAATAGGGCTAAAACTCAAGTAGGACTTCTTGTGGGAATATTCGGGTAGGATAGTGAAAGTTAAATGTTAATAGTGCTAAAACTCAAGTAGGACTTCAGACTTCTTGTGGGAATATTCAGGGCAGGATAGTGAAAGTTAAATGTTAATAGTGCTAAAACTCAAGTAGGACTAGGAAAAGAATGACCCTAAAAGAGTTCACAGTAGGACAATCTCTAGTGAAAATGATGGATTCAACTGAACCCGCTCTGAACAATCTAAGTATGCATGTATATGTAAGAAGAAAAAGGCAATGTCAAATGTGAAAACCTAATTAGATGCCAAAATGAATGCCAAGAGTATCAGCTTCTTGAATGTAAATATTATATATATGAAGCAAAAGGGAATGAAGCATCTGCAATGGCTGATGAGACGCTACTAATTACTGGTTTGACAGTTAGGCAAACACCCGTCGTGTACCCTTAGACAAACAACTTGAATGCTAACAAACAATATTGTTACATTGCTTTTCCAACGGAAATTTTAGATGTTGTATTTATATGTAAATTGTCTTTTTCCCAATTACCCCCTCATCTAATTCCAATAAATCCTTATCCCAAGCTCCCGCAAGTTAACGTAAATTCTTGATAAAGATTGTTCCATAGGTGTAAAAACATCTGATGAATTCACATACTGTGGTTGAAATTTAACGCTTATAAATTTCGGCAAAGGAATATTGCAATTTTATTAACATACTTATTCTCCTATCTTCGACTTCCCCACTATTCATATGCCATCATATCCAGTGACGGAGCTAGGAATTTCACTAAGGGGTGTCAAAATATAAAGAAGTAAACATACGAAGAAGCTAAGGGGAGTCAACATATAGTATATATTCATAAAAATAAATTTTTGACACCCCTTAACTTAAGGAAAATCCGCCACGGATCATATCCAATCAAGAAAAAATGACTACTTGTAAATGTTTTTCTCAGTCTATTGTCAAAATATATACACGGTGACCAACTTATCACGAAATCCTGATCCAGACCACAACTTTGTATTTTATGCAAGCATTAACGATATTGGAATTTCCACTTAAGCTAGTCCATGCCGCCAAGAACATAAGGGGAATACGAGAATTCAAATATCTTTCGGTTATCATATTTAATCATTTTTATACTTCTATCCAGACATGCGCTATCAACAATATCAAACATGAAATATATCACGAAGAAATTTCGGACTCTCCTGTCAAATCACATGGCAGTGTTTTGAGTACAAGTAATATGGAAAAACAAAATTCAGATTTGTAAAGAAAAATGACTTGTGTTCCAATGAGGGAAGTCATTTTTCACACTTTTTAGGTGGAAAATATTTTCATGTTAACATGTTCCCCTATTCAAGGTAACACTAGAAAACGATTTCCTAAGTTATAAGATACACGCCCATGGGCCATGTAAAGCATATTTTCTGTGGGATTCTCGAAAAATACATAGTGTTTGAAACGCAATAACAAATAAAAGATTCATTTATAAATGACCTATTTCACCCAACATACAGAGACAAAAAAATAAAAGGAAAAGAAAGAGGCAAATAGTAAACCTCGTTAGGTATTTACCTCTTCTTTAGGCCGGCAACAATAGATAATTGTATCATCAGCATTGCGGCGATCTTTAGCAGCATGGATTTGAAAAGTTTCGATAGGAGTACCAAGGGTGAGATTTAAGGCTTTCACAGTCATCCAATATTCAAAGTACATCGTCACCACCGAACGATTCACCTTCTCAATCTTCAAAGCTTTGTACTTGAAAACCTACAAGGAGAGTCATTAGGTATCACTTACAGAAGAATCCAAGCCACAGAAAAAAATAAAGTCAGTTTACATACATTGCACTCTTTCTCATTATATTCCTGGATAGCACGGTTAGCTAGTTCCATCAGTAACCCAGCATCCTTCTTGAAATTATATGGTGCTATTCCAGCACCTAAAGACCGACCGGGATGGACATCCAAGTCAAAACTCTGTCAAACAAGAAAGCAAAACAGGGATGAAAATTATCCAAAATGGGATAAAGAAGAGGGCTCATAATGAAACATCAGATTTGAGCTCATGCCGGAGCAGTCAATTAGTTAAAAGTGAAAAGCGGGCACGATACAGGGATCGAAGATTTGATGCCAAAGGGGAACCGAAACAATTCCTAGGGACGCAGGATCAACATCTCAGCCTCCAGTATACATAATTGAATATACAAGTAACAGATTTGTTAGTACTTGAGATTGCAATTTAGGAACAAAATTAGTGAAACGAGCAACAATGGGTTGGGTTAACTTTGATAAGAAAATTGACCTAAGGACATGAGATTAGCAATGAAATTTACATACAGTTAGCAATATGAATTGAAGCCATCAAAGCATAATAGTACCCAAATATATACTATAAGCTAAGCGAGAACATAAAAAAAAAAAAAAAGCTGCAGGAGAAGTGAAAGGAAGCAAACATGGGTTTGACGATTCTGGCAATAGTATGTGAGCCAAATTGGCTCAAAATCAGGGCAATGCTCCTCCAGAGCGCAATAGGGCAAACTGAAAATCGGGCTTTTGTTTTCATGGCATGAACTTGACGGATCACAAGTGCAATAGGGGTTTAGAGGCCACCCCGAGAGGCATCCACCTTGTGCAATTTGTTCTTCCCTATGCTTCTGCATTTGCGATTCCAGTTCAAGCTTTTTCTTCTTATCCAGGGGCACAAACAGAGATTCTAATCCTCCTCCGTCAACAGAATTTTTTCGGGTCACCGATTCCGGACTAAATTTTTGCCTCTTACCCGGTGTGACACTCACCCATCCTTCATCTGCAAGTTTTTCTCGATTCAACATCGTGGTTTCTGTCGCATGATTCGATATCAACTTTTCCAAATCAATCTTTTTCCCATCAACCAGTACCACAGTATTCACGCATCCTCCTGCAAGTTTTTCTCGCCCCGCCCTCTCTATCGCAATCATCATCGATCCTGCATCAGTTTGTAGCCCCTTATTCGAATAGTGTCTCCCAACAATGTTTTAGCCACTTCTCCTTCTCCTCTGGTAACAGCCGTGTCATAGATCCTCCTCCGCGTAACGGTGGCTCCCAGCGACGTTTTAGCCACTTCTCCTCCTCCTCTGGTAACGGCCGTGTCACAGATCCTCCTCCGCGTAACGGTGGCTCCAAACGACGTTTTTGCCACTTCTCCTCCTCCCCTGATAACGGCCGTATCGCAAATTCTCCTCCTAGAAGGTTATTCCACTTCGATTCGGCCATTCTCCTCAATTGATTTTGAGAAAACCTCCCTTTTCTATCTCCTGCAAAATTAAGTTGAAGCGATTGGGGGTAACCCTAACCCTCGCCCTATCTTAACAATCTTAACAATAAAAATAAAAACAAGCTACGAAAAGGGAAGATGGCATTTTTAATCCTTGAGTTATTGGCTTTTTGCGATTTTAATCCCTATTTTATTGGACTTTGCACATTAACCTTTACGTAGACTAAATGTGTATGGTATTTGCCAAAAAAAACCAAATAAATTTTGGCAACATCTATGGCCAAACGGTCCTAACTTCATCTTAACGGCGTTAGCTTAAAAAGAAAACATTTCTTTGTCTATTATGTTACTGTCACGACTCAAAACCCGACTAGTTGTGATGGCACCTAACCCAATCCGCTAGGTAAGCCAATTAACCATTAACAAATTCCAATAACAATTAATAAAGCAATTAAGTAAAGAAATATATGAATCTAATACATTCACCCAAGAACTGGTAATACAAATCATAAGCTTCTAAGAATAGAGTTTACAAAGCAGAAATGAAATAAATACATCGTCTATTTGAAAAGTACATAAACAAAGTTTTATAGATCTAAGGCTATCACGAACAAGAGGCAGCTACAACCGGGATGCAGGTACATCTTCAATCCAGCTCCCATCGAAAACAGCAATATCAGCAACCAACATCTGCGTGCAGAAGTGTAGTATGAGTACAACCAACCACATGTACTCAATAAGTAATAAACCTAACCTTAGGTTGAAAGTAGTGACGAGCTAACAAAAAGAGGTCGAGTCCAACACCAATATTCCACAACAGTTCATAACAGCATAGTACGCGTAAAAAAAGAGTATCTCAGAAATAAAAGGCTCAGTCTGTTCACAGTTCCAGAAAAATAGGCATTTCTTTTCAAGTATCTCAGTGAAAATTCAAATCTTTTACCGAAAAAGCCAAAATACGAATAAGTTTGAAAAATGTGATTTTTTCCAAAACTCCTTTCAACAAATAGTAAGATGTTTCATTTTCAGATAGCATGAGGGAAGTACTTCTCCATGCCTACATGTCAAGATGCAGGTAAAATCACAAATGTCCCCAAAACTGGGTAGCAGAAGAAAATGCACCTCTATGCATGCATCTCAAGTACGCATGTCAAATGCAATGCATCTCGATGATGAGCTCATGTACTCACACTCTAAGAGTATTCAATCTCACTGTCTCGCATTCTCTCTCACTATGCTCAGCACACTCAATCACTCAGCGATGTACAATACCTGATGCGGCGTGGAACCCGATCCATATATGACCATAAAGTTCGTTGCGGCGTGCAATCCGATCCACATATATATAGTCGACTGCACTCACTGGGGGTATGCAGACTCCGGAGGGGCTCCTTCAGCCCAAGCGCTATATCTCTGCGGCGTGCAGCCCGATCCCATAATATATAAATAGCCATAAGGCTCGTTGCGGCATGCAACCCGATCCATATGTATATATATAGTCTTAAGGCTCGTTGCGGCGTGTAACCCGATCCATATAAAATATAATCAATATAATATGTTGCGGCGTGCAGCCCGATCCCAAAATGTCACTCTCACTCAGGCCCTCGGCCTCACTCAGTCATCAATCTCTCTAATCTCACTCACGGGCTCACAATATCGTGAAACTAGCCAAACAACAATGATATGATGTATCAATAAATAATATCTGAGGCTGAGATATGGTATGAATGTATGGATATGACTGAGTATGAAATATCAATAAAATCAGTGAGATGACAGTAAGAAACGACCACTATGGGTCCAAACAATATCGGCATAATGCCTAAACATGATATCTAGCATGATTGACAGCTTAACTACTTTATCACATGGTGAAAACACGGATGTCAACAAAGTTGGACCACTATACAGTGCCATAGGAACAACAGAGTCTCAATTAACATGGTGCACGCCCACACGCCCGTCACATAACATGTGCGTTACCTCAATACCAATCACATACCACGTATTTCGGGGTTTCATACCCTCAGTACTAAGATTAGAAGAGTTACCTCGAACAAGCCAATACCAATGTCGAGCAAGCCAAACGATGCTCCAAAGATGCCATCCCGCGTGTTCCGACCTCCGAACAGCTCAAAACTAACCAAAAACAACTCAAATACATCAAACAATGCTAAAGGAACCAATTCCGATAGAAAAAGATCAAATCTTGAATCAAAAGCCCAAAATCGGCCAAAAGCCCAACCCGGGCCCGCACCTCAAAACCCAACAAAATTTATAAAATTCAACAACCCATTCAATTACGAGTCCAACCATACTAGTTTCACTCAAATCCTACTCCAATTCGATGTTCAAAACTCAAAAATTCATATTATGAAACTTTAGGCCAAAAGCCCCAATTTCCTATTTAAAATTCACAATCCAATTACCAAAAACGAAGGTAGATTCATGAAATATAACCAAAATCGAGTAGAGAACACTTACCTCAATCCTTGTGATGAAAATTTTTCCAACAATTGCCTCAATCCGAGTCCCACATCTCAAAATATGAAGAAAGAACCAAAATATCGATTTATAGCTTCTGCCAGCATTTTCGCACCTGCGACACATTAGCCGCTTCTACGACATAACCTCCGCTTCTGCGGAATCAGTTGAGGACTCGACCCTCACACCTGCAGACAACATCTCCGCTTTTGCGACATCGCAGGTGCGAGCCACCATCACCTCATACCTGCGCATCTGCATATGCGCCCAAATCTCTGCTTCTGCGGTCTTCCTCACCCAGCACTATTTCCTCTCCTGCGACCCCTTCGTCGCTTTTGCGACCATCGCATCTACGTAAACCAGCCGCAGGTGCGGTCACACTAGAACCAGCAATAGCAACATGAAGTAAAATGATCCGAACCTCGTCCAAAACTCATCCGAGCCACTCGGGACTCCGTCCGAATATACCAACAAGTCCAATAACATAACACGGACCTACTCGAGGCCTCAAATCATGCATAACAACATCGAAACGACGAATCGCACCTCAAATCGAAATCTATGAACTTTGAACTTTCAAATTCAATAACTCGTGCCGAAACATAGCAATCAATCCGGAATGACTTCAAATTTTGCGCACAAGTCCTAAATAACATAACGAAGCTATTCCAATTCCCAGAATCATAATTCGAATCCGATATCAAAAAGTCCATTCCCAGTCAAACTTTTCAAAATTTTAACTTTTGCCATTTCGAGCCGAATTCAACCACGGACCTCCATATCACAATTCGGACGCGCTCCTAAGTCCAAAATCACCCAACGGAGCTAACAGAACCATCAAAATTCCAATCCGAGGTCAAATTCTAAAAGTCAAACTTAGTTAACTCTTCCAAATTTAAAGCTCCCTAGTTAAGAATCATTCTCCCAATTAGTCCCGATTAATCTGAAAACCGAAACCGACAATTCACACAAGTCAAAATACCTCATACGGAGCTACTCACGCCTGTAAACTACCGAGCGATGTGCAAATGCTCAAAACGACCGATCGGGTCGTTACATCCTCCCCCACTTAAACATACGTTCGTCCTCGAACGTGCCAAGAGTTGTTCCAAAAGCCATCAAATCGTCGTGTAACCTTACCATGCACCCAAACCGGGGGTGATCCCACGTCACCCTATCCCGTACAGGTCTAATAACACAACATAACTGAAATTCCTCAATTCAACCTAGCCCGCAAGCCTTATAATCCAATTTCCAACACCCGAAATTTCTTATAAGATCTGAATCTCGCAACCTACACGCTGCATAAGTCTGAACAAGTTGTACCAAAAGCCATAACCATAACTCAAATACTCAAATACCGCATAGCTCAAATGCTCGAAGCAATGATTTCTAATCATAACAGCTGCTCAAAATAACCCAATGCCAGTAATAAAACCCATATCAAACAAGACTCTATTCTAAAACCTTCGTACACTACCGATAATGAAAGAAACATGCAAAAACTCGTAACCATTCATCAGATCCACCAGTCGTGGAGCTCCCTCTCCTTCGACAAGAACCATAGCAAATTTCTAAGCCGACTTTCGATATTATCCTTCCAAATATACCACAATCAAATCGGATAGCACTCATCCTAGATCCGACGACTTCATCTTATCAAATACCAGCTACTCTACTGATATGCCACACCAATACTATCTAAAGTCACAACCCGTGCAATCTGTGCACCAATAAGCAACATTCCAGATGTACTCAATCACATAAATGACTCAAACAAGAGAATCGTCCCGCAAGTTCGACAGGTACCACCTCGACGCAATGCTAAGAACCCATCACACACTGTAGAACCATAACACATGAATCTAACACCAAGGATCATATCTCAACATAACTCTGTCACAATGCGCGACCCCATTCAAACACTGATCCATATGAAATACCTCATCTACCATGCTCAAAATCAATAACCACGCGCAATTCGACATCAAGTACTCAAAGTGCATTACCATAACCGCGGAGAAGAAGATGACACAATGCCACGCAAAACCCGAATGAACATAACCCATACACCATCAACCATGCAATACCCAATTACTCATCTCACTCAAATTCTGCTATAAATCCCAAATAGAACCGCACCCGGTATGCTTATAACTAATGAATCACAACTCCTCGTAACATAGAAGACTAACTCATAGATCATTTCAGGACACGAATAAGCTCAACAACAACTGAATGACACATCCCTCAATAATAGCATTATGGGGCCAACCAATCCAACTCGGTGTAGAATACACATCCTAATTGAGACTACCAATGGACCGCCAAATCAACTCCGGGCACCCACACATGGATAAATAACCCTCCGAAAGCCCACAATGACTGAATCATAACACATACTATCGTCTAGCTAGCTTCTGCCATGACTTCACAGTTCACAACCATGAAAACAACCTACTCTTGAGAACTCCCAGTCTCCAAATCCATAGAACACACGAATCCCATATCTGATCCCAACTCCACCGCCAGATGTCTAACACATCTCTCATACACGATCATCCCACGAGGAATACTTCTAAAATTCTTCCGTGCCACATGGCAAAATTTGAATATCAGTAGTCGATCA